GACTCTACTTGACTTACCAGCTGCTAGTTTCCCCCCGGCTGTTTCCGGTTTATCCCGGTGCAGTCATCATGTGAGTTTATGCTTCAGCCCAAGTTACCCATGGAGGTCCCACACCTGTCAAATAGGCAAATGACATTTACTATATTATTTATAGTCTGCATGCACAAACACACTGCAGGTAATACACAATTGCGAACAGAAAGAGGGGTCCAGGGTTAGAATCTGACCTGCAGCCCTTTGCTGCGTGTCATCCCCTCTCTGCCCCCCTTTCCTGTCTGTATCCATGAGTGTTGATGTGTGTGTGTGAGTGTGTGTGAGCTGAGAGAGTATTTTCAATGAGAGAGTGCCACAAATACTACCACCAGTACTGCTTATTATGACTCTTTTGACCGACTCATTTTTGGAATTTATGGCATGTAGATCTTGTGTGAATTATTTGAATGTGAAATAATACAATTTCAGCCACACTCCAATAAATTCAATGAGAAATGTACACTTATTCTAAGGATACTTTAGTTTTCTAGTGTTGTTTGAAATATATTGACTAGGGATTGGATGTTAAAACGTACGTCGTTGAAATAGTTAAATACAACAGATAACACTGAGGACTTTAAGCTGCTGCTGTGTTCAGAGCAAAGTGTGCAAAGGTGAAATCCAAGGCAAGGCTAAATGTAAGTATTGTATATAACACAAACATGACACACAGTGTGGTTGAAATACGTTCCTTCTGGGTAAATATATAAACAAGTCTGTTGACATCTTGTGATGCAAGGTTTTTCTTGTTTACATTTTCGAAAAAAGACTACCCCCTCTCTAATCAATAGAATTGCCATCCCCATAGAAAAAGCAAATGACCTTTTAGATAACCTTACTACAGATTAAAAACAGAGATATATTAAAATATAAATATTCAAAAAAATCACTTTCAAATAAAGAGTTGTGCATGTGGGATATTATTGAAACAATAGACAATAACAAGGGTTTGGGTAGGAAAACTCTGTGTTAGGGTTGGCTGACTCTATAGAAATGTAGCAAAACCGATAGTTTGGTGAAACATTGTTTAAAATTCAAGTTTGTCATCTGACAGTTAAATGAATATCATGATTGGATTGGACAAACAACTGTTGTTGCTGCTCAAGGTTGTGTAAATCTTTTGTTTGCAAAAATGATTGTGAAATATGTTTTGCTCATCCAGTGCCAATGAAATGGTTAGTCCAATTCCACTGCTGTGATACTCACTGACTGCAGTGTTGCCGAAGTGAGCAGTACCCTTTTTTGAGTATAAGAACAATGAGAGAGTTCGAAATGGTTGACCCTCAAACTTAAAATGAACATGATGTATTAATTAGATTTCAAATAGACAGTAAATGTCTACAGTTGATATACATTTGTAAACTACATTGTGTGTGGAGTGACTGTAACACAGATATTGTTTTATCAACCTTTTTAAAAAATTTTGCATCATCCTCCAGAAAGGTTTTTTTTGTTGCTGTAACAAAGTACAAAACACGACTATTTCTACTGTTGATCATTAGTAAAAGTTGTTTCATTCAATATGGCCATGAGACACAGTGCATCCAAGAAGATACTTTTTATTGTGATGTCTGCAGACTGCCATAATTGTTATGAAAGGACTCTTTTTAAACATCTATGTTTTTTTTTATCATATCTGTACTTTCTCTCTGTATCTGCAAAGTCTGTTGAAGACCTGTTCAAATTAACTTTCCATTTCAGTTGAAGTACTGTAAGCCCATACAAGCACTCTGTCCTCTCATCTTCTACTATATATTTCAATACTGCGAGGCACTTTCATTGACTAAAATAGTGCTAGAATCCCCTTAAATATATAAATGCAACTGTGAGCAGCCCTCTTTATCTGGTCGTTTTTATTGTGGAAACTAGGTATGATCGACAGGCAGCCTTGAAATGTCATTTAAAGTCATACTCTGAAGTTTGCTTCAAATAAGTAAAACATTTGTCCATTAAATTAAAATTATATTGAATATGTTTATGAGAAAAAGGTTCATCAAAAGGGGCCAGACATCAGAAATACTTTCAAGGTCACTTGTTCTGCCCCAGACCACTACTACAATGGCTTTACTGCTATGGAAATGAGTCCAGCTAATATTGCAGGACAGAGTGACCTTATCTACAAGGAGCCCAGGGGATTTGGAAACACTACATTTGAGCCTCAAACACATTCGTAACACTGGAATCAGCATGTGGAATTTTTCAACAGATTACATAACAGTTGACACACTGGATGTGGACAAACCATTGACCATACCAATACATGGGACAATGTATTAGCAGCACACAATATTTCTCAAGTATTGGCTCACCAAAACAATCTTCTTTCTACAAGGAAATTCACAGAACCTTGCCTTTCACACACCCTATCATTCCTTAATAAAATGAAAAAGGCTCAAATCATATGCAGTAGTCTGGAAGATAATATCTTCATTATAGTCATCGGATTATATTCTGTAATTATTCTATTATTGCCTAGATCTGCATGTAGTGTATTAGTCAATTGAGTCATCTTTATATAACAACTCATCATTAAGGCTCTGCGTGATTTATGATGGAAAAATGTAATTGATACGGTTGCTGCTGTTTTATAAAGTACACATCAAATTAATAAATTACCATTTCACCTTCCACTGTGCGCACCTGTATACTGTCAAGAGCATCCTAAACACATCTGGAGAATGAGGTAATTTGCCGTTTCAGTTTATTTGTTCAGGACTGACAACCAGGTATTTAATTAGGCAGATATGTAAAACTTTGTCATTCATTTTTTCTCTCAAAGCTAAAAAAAAACAAAAAACGAGAGAGACAAAACTCCTCCTTATTGCTGTCAAATAACAGATCCTGGGGCTGCTTCTTTGCCAATAAATAGGGGATCGACTATTTATCCTACTGTGACAGCGCTGAAGTAATTTCACAGAAATATGGATACATTTCCTGGGTCTTAACCATTAGCCATGCAATCAAACAACCACTGTCAACATCACAACAAATCTGATGGTTAAGCCTGGAGGGGGGAGGGAGAGTAGGGTGCCACTCACCCATACTGGATAACTAACACACAAGGAGCACAAACACACCACAGAGAGCACACTGTGTTATGACTGCATCCACAATTCAACACAAATTACATACAGTGACGTCAAAAAAAAAAAAAGCAAACAAATACCAGTATTTACACGGTACAACTGAATCTACAGGACAACAGCAGCAAAAGTAATGCAAACGGCAAAAATAAAGGTTTACTCACCATTAAAATACCATCTCAGGATGATAACCTTCCAGCATTTACTGCAGCTATCTAAAGGCAAGGTCTCTCTCACAGAACAGCTTTTTAGGCCACTATCAGTCACTTCAATGTGTAAGGCAAGGCTCGTATTTTTCTGTAAAAAAATGTTCCTATGGGTAAGTGTAGACATTTCTAATGTGAAGTCAATTTTATTTATGTAGCCTTATATCAAAAATCACAATTTTGCCATAAGGGGCTTCACAATCTCACAATATATAATCCTCTATGCTTAATCCCTCCCTTGAGGCACTGACAGTCAGGGCACAACTGTAGCCCCAGTTTGTGCTTCCCATGTATTACTATTACACTCAAATCAAATAGACAATATATTTTCATCCAGATGGTTAGAGGAGTTTTTGAGGATTCAGTCTGTCTGTCTTGAGAATGCAAACTGTTGAGTAATAGTTGATCAGTCTGAAGGTTTTATCGACAGTATCTAGCCACCAGCCATTTGCAATCTTTGTGTTTTATGAGCTATGATAAATTCATTAAAGCTCAAGCACACCATTTGCACAGATAGAAGAAAAGAACAAACACAGAGATATTTAGAGAGACACAAGGATGACATGCACACACGGGAGAGAGAGACACACACAAGGGGAAGAGGCTGAATCTCTTGGATCCAGATCCAAACATTTGGAGACACCGACAGCCAGGGAAAGAGAGAAAGAGGTCCCAGGATGGCTGATGGTCCAGCACAGAGAAGC